CTTGATGATGGTTGATATATTCTATATATGTTGGTTAAGTCTAGGTTATTGATTGTGTTATTGAGTTCTATAGTTTCTTTATTCAGCTTTTGTCTAGAGGATCTGTTTAATGGCGAGAGCAGTGTGTTGAAGTCACCCATAATTATTGTGTTGTGGTCTATTTGACTCTTGAACTTGAGGAGAGTTTGTTTTATGAATGTTGCAGCACCATTGTTTGGTGCATACAAATTGATAATTGTTATGTCTTGTTGGTGGATGGTTCCTTTTAACAGTATATAGTGTCCTTCTTTATCCCTTTTGATTAACTTAGGTTTGAAGTTGATTTTATTCGATGTGAGTATGGCCACTCCTGCTTGCTTCCGAGGACCATGTGAGTGGTATGATTTTTCCCAACCTTTCACCTTCAGTCTGTGTATGTCTTTTCCTATCATATGAGTCTCCTGAAGGCAGCATATTCTTGGATTTGTTTTTTTTAATCGAGGGTACTAGCCTATGTCTCTTGATTGGTGAATTTAAGCCATTAACATTCAAGGTTACAATTGAAATATGGTTTGTACTTCCAGTCATGTTTATTTATTTATTTATTTATTTTAGTTTGGCTAGTTTTTCCTCTTTGGTTATTTTTCTCCCCCTTTACTGAGATACCTCCCACTGTTAGTTTTGGGCGCTATTTTTCAGTTCCTCTTTTTGTAGTATTTTGCTCAAAATGCTTTGCAGTGCTGGTTTTCTGGCTGCGAATTCTTTTAGCTTTTGTTTATCATGAAATATTTTAATTTCATTGTCAAATCTGAAGCTTAATTTTGCTGGATACAGTATTCTTGGTTGGAATCCATTATTTTTCAGCGTTTGAAATACGTTGTTCCAGGATCTTCTCGCTTTCAAAGTCTGTGATGAAAAATCAGCCGTTAACCTAATTGGTTTACCCCTGAATGTAATCTGCTTCCTTTCTCTCGTAGCTTTTAATATTCTCTCCTTGTTCTGTATGTTGGCTATCTTCATAATTATATGTCTTGGAGTTGGTCTATTACGGTTTTGAATGTTTGGGGTCCTGTAGGCTTCCAGGATTTGGCAATCCATTCCATCTTTCATCTCTGGGAAGTTTTCTAGGATTATTTCATTTAATAGGTTGTCCATTCCTTTGGTTTGAACCTCTATACCTTCTTCCATCCCAATGACTCTCAAGTTTGGTTTTTTTATGACATCCCATATCTCTTGGATAGATTGCTCGTGAGATTTAAGCATCCTTTCTGTGTTGACTATATTCTTTTCAAGTTGATAAACTTTGTCTTCATTATCTGATGTTCTGACTTCTACTTGATCTAGTCTATTTGTAATATTCTTGTTTGAGTTTTTAATTTGGTTTATGGTTTCCTGCATTTCTAGGATTACTGTTTGATTTTTTTTTTTTAATCTCTATCTCCTGGTAAAGCTCGTTCTTTGCCATTTGAATTTGTTTGTTTAATTTGTTTTCAAAATATACTTTCATTGCTTGGCCTTGCTGTCTCATGTCTTCTCTAATATTCCGTTCCATCTGAGTTAGGTATGCCTTGAGTTCTTTCCCTGTCCATGTTTCTGATGCTTCTAGGTCCTCCTGTAGATTTAAGTTGTCCTGCATTGTTTGTAATCCTTTTTTCCCTTGTTTTTTTATGTTGTTCACGTTACTTTCCAGCTCTGTTTGACTGCTGTGTTTCTGCTTTCTCCTATAAATTTGTTTTGGTTTTGTATATCTCTGTTGTCTCTCCTTTGTGGTGGTAGACTATGCCTAGAAATGATGGGCTTTATTGTACTTTAAAGCTGATTCATTCAATTCATAAAAGGCTTCCGGATTCTGTATGCATATAGTGATTTGTTGTTTGTTCTTAGGACTTTATGTTTAGGTTAGGTGCTATGATGGTATGAGGGTTAGTATGTCTTGGCTACTTTTGAAGATTGCTCTACTGAAGGGGGATACTAACAGGCGATTGGATTAGGGTGTTGGTAGTAGCTAGGTATTTAGGAGCCCTATAGACAGCCTCAAAACATTCACCTATTTGCATTTAGACAGTTACACGTAATGGAAGATGTAATGCTTGGGATGAAAGTTGGGGGATAGGGGAAGGAAGGTGCTCTTAAAAAGAAAGAAGGAGAGAGAGATAGATAGATTAGAGGAGAATGAAAAGAACAATAAAACTTGAAACGGGAAAGAAAGAAAGAAGGAAAAGGGGAAAAAAGAACAGAGAGAGAAGAAAAAAAAATTGAAGTCTTGGAGATCCATTTTCTTCTCTTCCCGTAGGCGGAGCTGTGCCCTCCGAGCCGAGCTTCTGCCCTCTATGTGCCGATAGCAATCCCTGTAAGGCGGCTCCTGGCAGTCTCTCAATCTTGTCAGTCCAGAGCCCTTTCACTTCTCCGGCCCCTTCCCCCTTCCTCCTGTCAGCCGGCCAGCCAGGTCCTGTTCACCGGAAGCGGTTCCCCAAAGATCTAGTTACACTTGCAGCCCCACTGCACATCCCATTTAAGCCCCAGTGCTGTGGTAAACTGGCGGCTAAGACCTTAGGAGTCGCCACTGGTGATATGGAGGGTTGGGGATCGGGAATCCCCTCTGCTTCCCTACAGACACGCCCCCGGAGAGATCCCTGAGGTTTCCTGGCTGCTTGTATCTGGATGGGGTGGGAGTCACACACGTGCTAAAGTGGATTCCGCTGGGAAGGAATTCCATCGGCCGAACTCCAGTGACATCACCTCTCTGCTATGGCGGGCCCCAGGCTCCTTGCCGGAGTGTCCGAAGGGAGGGGTGGGAGTGGTCCGTCCCCGGTTGGCCTCAGCTCCCGGCTCGCTATTTCATGAAGGCTTGGCTAGAGTCTTCTTCCTGCCAAGCTGTGTCTTGGGAGGCTAGCCGCCGAGTCATGATGGCTGTGGGCAGGCGGCCGCGCCGCGTCGCGCGGACAGCGGCTGGCGGGTCTGGACATCTGCGTCTCGTGGTGGGGATTCACTCGTCTGGGGCAAACTGTCACCACCAAAAATCCTAGTAACTCCCGGCCGGTCTCTCTTCAGTGGAATTTTGCTAGGAGATTCTCAGCTGGTAGAATCTAAGCGTATCTATGTGTCTCTCTGACCCCATCACTGAGGGGGTACTGAAAGCACTGCCTCTCCGCCCGCCGCCATGTTGGATCTCCAAACCTCCTCAGGCGCGTCGGCTACTGTGGCGGCGGGCGTGCAGGACCGTCAGCGCCCAGCAGAGGGCTGCAGGTTGCGGGCGGCAAGAGTCCGTTGGGAGCAGCGCGGCTGAGCTGGATCTGTCTTTTACCTCTTGACACTCATAGGCTTAAGGCTTTTAGTGGCATCAGACTGGTGGTCAGACCTTCAGGCAAATGGCGCCTCGCAGTGGCTGTTGTAGCAGCCTGGGTCCTGGGCTCAGAGAGGGCCAATGTGAGTTCCTTCTTTGGAGTAAAGCAGTTGCTTGGACCTCAGCCAGGCCCCCAGCTGGTGGAAAGCCTATGAGGTCTGTGGAACTCTGCAGTTAGCACTGTAGAGCTGCTGCTGCTGCTGTTCTTTTTCCACCTACCTTTTCCAGGGAGCTGGAGTTGATGCTGCTCTATGCTTTGTTCCTGTCCCTGTGCTGTCTCTGACTCTCCCTTGCTGATTTCCAGAGTTCTCCCTTAGTCACACTCCTCAGATGCAGTCTTGGCTTTGCTGCCTTGATTCTTTTCTGTGGCAGAGGTGAGTTCAGGGCACCTGCACTCAGCCATGGTGTGTCTCCCTCTGCTCCGCGACCTGAATGTCCAGCCACAACCAGTGAGCTGTTGTCTTGGTTCTTCCTGGCCTGGCGGTGTGTGCAGACACATGTGGGAGGAGCAGTGTCATGACCAGGCAGGCAGGCAGACACAGGGGGACAGTGAGGTGCCGAGAAAAAGTAAAACAGGCAAAGATACGTCCAGAGATGGAGGGAGAGACAGAGTAAGAAAGACAGTGAGAGACAGAGGTTCAGACGGGGTGGTGGGGAGAGTGAGAGAGTGAGACAGGGAGAGCGGGAGGGAGAGGGAGAAAAGATACCACATTGATGTTGACCACTATCTACTTGGAAGAGGACTTTTACTCGCCTTACTAGGCCTGGCTCCTGCCAGGCCAGGGCTCTAAACTCATGGTAGAACCTTGTACAAGTCTTCATCCTTTCTTCACTTATATTCTGTATCTGTGCAATGAGCAAGCTGAACCACGTGCTTTATGAGGGTTGATTCAAACCTGTCGTCCATGACATGTCAGAGTGCCTTGATAAGTGTAAATGTAAACATAAAAACGCAGATGGTGCACCTTCACTGCTTGTGGCTCATAAAGTTATGTGTGTCATAAACATGTACATGTGCACCTGACTCCATAGTTACGCAGAACACTGTGCAATTAGAGTCCAAGACTGGAATGTTTGTCTACAGCATTGTTTACTCTGCGATTAAATACATGTAAACCTGGGCATGTGACACATCTGTAATCCCAGCTACTTGGGGGCTGAGGCAGGAGGATTACAAGTTTGCTCTTAACAAGATCTTCTCTAAAAATAAAAAGGGATGAGTGTAGCTTAGAAGTAGAGCACCCCTGGATTTCATCTACAGTACCAAAAATAAATAAATGTGTGTGCGGAGGTTTCAAGGGGACCTTGTGTGAATCTCACTTGAGTGTGCTATGATGAGGACATCATTGCCATAATGGCATGTCTGTCTGGCCCAAGGAGTGAGGCCCAGGCCCTGGGGCATGCCTTCTCAGGGCTTGCCCAGGTGGGATGGGGCAGAGGGACTCAGGTTGGGGTGACAGGGGAGATACATACAGGTCTGGGCATGGCAGCCCTAGCTCTCCTCTCATCCATCTCTACCCCATCTTTGCCTCCTTTGCTTGCCACGGGGAGGCTTTGGCTTTACCCTGGTGCTTCTTTCAGGCTGCTCCTACCAGTTGTTTCCTCAGGTCCCTAGTCTAAGGGTGTTGCGTCCATTCCTAGCCTCACCTGCCCACTGAATATGTTTCTTCTCCCTCAGAGCAGACATTGTGGCCTTGGTGTGGCACAGTAGACCCAGGACAGATGAGCGGTGATGTTTGCATCTACTCCTGGCCCTGCTCCTACTACTTGGATCTTGAGAAGCGATGGGTCCCTGGAAAACTGTCCTTGCTGCCTTGCTCACTCAAGTTCACAACAGACATTGCTGGAGAGGTTCTCGTGGGCTTGCCCCTGTCCAGCATTGTTGAGATCAGGAAGGAAGCGTCACACTTTATCTTCAGTGCCATCACTGTCCTGGAGAAGGGCCACCTCAAGCACTGGTTTGGCTCCTTGCGTCCCAGCCGCAATGCTGTCTTCAACATCATCGAGCACTTCTGGAGGGAACTGCTCTTGTCCCCGCCAGGTGCTGCTGCTGGGGTGACGCCTTCCCCCATAACCAGGGGGCAGGAGTTGACAGGACTGATGGCAAGTTCCCAGAGGCGCCTGGAAGATACAGCAAAGGTCCTTCACCACCAAGGTGAGCAACTGGATAGTGTCATGAAGGACCTGGAGAAGATGGACTCAGACCTGGACGTGGCCGATAGGTAGGTGAACCTGAGACTGCTCTGCCTCCCCCGTGAGGAGGGCACATCCCTACTGCAGTCCAGTTATGTGATACACCCAGCATCTGGAGGTGGGGCTGTGTACCTGGTACAGGGCACATCCCAGAGAGCTGCACGTGTTGAGAGGCTGTGCTCTGAATAAGGTTTCCTTGGGTCACCTCGGGGCCCTAGCAGTTCGAAGAGGTGCAGTGAGGTGAATGTCCTCTGATGACTGTGTGAGTGACTCCTGTCCCTACAGTGCAAGCTGGCTCCTGTGTGGAGACCATGCATGTCCTGGTGTCTTGGGTCACAGGTGCAGTGAGGCCGGCATCCTCTACGACTGCCCACAGGTGTGTTGCTCTTCCGACCTCAGGTCACTGAGGCGCAGGGAGGTCTGTGTCTTTTCCTGCTGTGATCTGTGTTGTGATGTGTCGTGGTCTCTTTTTTAAAATGTGTTTTACCTAGTCTCTCATTGAGCTTACAGTTCATCCCCAGGGTGCGGCGTTTTCCTATTGTCTCTGGTAATTTCTCACCCTGTTTTTAAACACAGGTGCCCGTGTCACTCCCGCTCTGTGGGTGTTTGTCCTCTCTTACTAGTTCCTATATGTTTCCTCTTTATTCTGCTTTGTGCTTTTGTTTTCATTCTACTTTATATTTCTTTTTTCCCTCTTCCTCTTCTAGTTTTGTATTTTAATTTCTCTTTCTTTCTTTTTGGTACTAGGGATTGAATTCAGAGACACTTTACCACTGAGCCATATTTTCAGCCCTTTCTATTTTCTGTTTTAATATAGGGCCTCACTAAGTTGCTTAGGCCTCGCTAAGTCACTGAGGTCATGGTTTGGATGTGAGATGTCCCCCAGAAGCTCACATGAGACAATGCAAGAAGGTTCAGAGGAGAAATGACTGGGTTGTGAGGTCTTAACCCAATCAGTGAGTTAACCCCCAGTGGGGATTAGCTGTGTGGTAACTGAGGTGGTGGGAGTGGCTGAAGGAAATGGGGCACAGGGCACGTGATTTTGAGTATATATTTTGTATCTGGGGAGTGGATTCTTTCTCTCTGCTTTGTGATCACCATGTGAGCTGCTTCTTTCTGCCACATTCTTTGGCCATGATGGTCAGCTTCACCTTGATCCCCAAGGAATGGAGCTGGTCTTCTGTGGACTGAGACCTCTGAAACTGTAAGACACTTTAAAATAAACTTTTCTCCTTTAACAATTGTTCTGGTTGGATCCTTTAGTCACAGCAGCAAAAAAAAACTGACTGAAATACTGAGGCTGGCCTTGAATTGCAATCCTCATGCCTTAGCCTCATGAGTCTCTGGGGGATTATAAGTATGCGCCACTACACCTGGCTCTGTATTTTAATTTCAAGGAATTTTTGTTTTGCAATATTGTTCCTACCTATTATATCCCAGATCCTATCTTGGCAGTTTCAGTTGTCTTTTTTGCTTTTTTTTTTTAATGTCTGATTTCTCCTATTTGTTCTTTCTCTGGGTTCTTTTTTTCTCTATGTGTTCCTCAGAAGCATCCCTGTCCCATGATCCCTGTGTGGATGGGCTACCAGGGCTTGGCTGCACCTGGGACCTAACATCTGAGCCCTCTTGGGTCCTGCCCAGTGTGGACTATATTGCTTTCTTCTCCCTGTCAGAGTCCACCCAGGTGTTTGGGAATGGTGGACCCAGTTCTCTTATCGTCCCAAACAGAGTGTCTCACGGTGGGTTCCCAGGTGGAGCCCAGTGTCATTGTGCTTCCCCATTTCCGCCTCCCACCTGGGCTGTCACTGGCCCCATTCTACTCCTGCTTTCCAGGCCCCACTTCCTTTTCACCAGCGAGGTTGTTTTTTCAGCCTAACCCTGTGAATGGCTTGCAGTTCACCTCCCTGATCTGTCTAGCTAGCCTGTCCCCCATTTCCTTATTCTTGTGCTGTTGTCTCTTTCCTTCATCCTTTTGGATGTTTTGTGTTTTCAGTTTGCCATCTTTGACCAGTTCCCCAGCTATTCTCCCTAAAGGTGAGTCCTTGAAAATATTCTTTTTTTTTATCATATCAGTTCAGACTTTTAAAAAATTTCTGTGTATTTTTCAAAAATTAGTTTTGAAATCTGATTTTTGTAACAACAGTAGTGCTCCTTATCTATGGTTTTATGTCCTCTGTTTGTTACCCACTGTCAAATATAGTACAAAGATTTTGACTGTAAAATTCTCAAAATAGTTCATAAATTGTAACTTGTGCACTCTGCTGAGTAGCATGATGAAATCTCACACCTTTTGCCCTGTCCCACCCAGAGTGTGAATCACCCATTCAGCATATTCGCACTATCCTACTCTTAGTTCCTAGTAGCAGTCTTGGTTATCAGACCTGCTTGTGTTTGAGTAACGTTTGTTTTACTTAATGAAGGTCCCAAAGTGCAGGGGTAGTGATGCTGGCAGTTCAGGTATGCCAAAGAGAAGCCGTGAAGTGCTTTTTCATCCAGGCACGGTGGCCCACAATCCCACCTCTACCGTTTGGTACTACCCACAGCTTTAGGAGTACCCTGGGGGTCTGAGGATGTGTTCCCTGCAGATGAGGGGACTGCAGAGTGCTCAGTTTCCCTCATCCCACTCTTGGATGTGGCAGCCTTTGCCATACAGATTCATACCTGGAGAGGGTTTGGGCATAAGTCTATGCCCATCATGGGTGGTTGGACTGCAATCATGTCATCCCCACTCACCAAGCCAGAGAGATTCCTTTAATCAGACAGTGCTGTGGAGGATGGGCATGTGCCATGCTCACCCCCAAAACAGGGAGACAGCAAAGTGCATAGAGCAAATATTTTCTTAGTTTTTCCCCATTTTCTTATTTGGGGCTCTCCAGAAAAACAACAGATACAAAGTCTTCTGGAGGCCCAGGGAGAGTCTCACTTGAATCCTAGGGCCTTTGCTGGTCTCTTCTTTCCCAAAGAAGGCTGGGCTCTGCCCTGTTCCTGTCCTCCAGTGACTGGAGGAGGCCCACCCCACACTGTGGGGCATCATGTGCTTTCCTCAGAGTCTACGAGTTTAAGTGTCAGTCTCATCCAGACCTCCAGAATCCTGTCTCGGGAACCTCCAGAGTTGCACTGGACCAAATGCCTGGGTATTGTGGCCCAGTCAGATGGGTGTTCACATGGCTCAGGCATGACATCCACCTCAGGCCGGCAAATAGGCCTGTGACCATGGGTCAGCTCTCTGTCCCCCAGCCCAAGGAGCCCAGAGTCCCCTAGTTGTGGAGCTCCTGTTGGCCCCAGCTCACTGTGGGCATGCCAGGGGCTTCCCTGAGGAAGGTGGAGAGGATGTGGTGCCTGAGGATATTGGCCCTGGCTGGTGAGCGTCGCTCTTGTCTCTCCTCAGAGCCCCTCATCATCCCAAGCCAGAGACGTGTGCACAGAGAAGATTCTTGCTATCTTTGGGACATCACCATATTTCAGTTTCCTAAATGAAACAACTTCAAATGAAATAGATGTTTGAGAGTGGCCATCTTCATCTGTTCTTGACATCTTCAGCTGTCTTGCACATGTGGCCTTCACTTCTTTTTTTTTGGGGGGGGGGGTGATGTGGGTACCAGGGATTGACCTCAGGGGCACTTGCCCACTGAGCTACATCCCAGCCCTATTTTGTATTTTATTTAGTGACAGGATCTCACTGAGTTGCTTAGCACCTTTCTTTTGTTGAGGCTGGCTTTGAACTCGTGATCTTCCTGCATCTGCCTCCCAGCTGCTGGGATGACAGGCGTGGACCACTGTGCCCGCTGGCATTCACTTCTCTTCAGGTTGGCCATATCATCAACGTCGTTCAAGAACAGTGAATGCCGGGTGTGGTGGTACACACCTGTAACCCTAGCAGCTCCAGAGGCTGAGACGGGAGGATCGTGAATTCAAAGCCAGACTCGGCAATTTGGCAAGGCCCTAAGCAACTCAGTGAGACCCTGTCGCTAAATAAAATACAAGAAGGGCTGGGGATGTGGCTCAGTGGTCCAGTGCCCCTGAGTTTAATCCCCAATACCCCCGCTCCTTAAAAAAAAGGAACAGTGAATTACAGGCTTTGGTCCTCCCAGCAGCCAGTGGCTCAGCTCTGGTTGCATCTCACTGGAACCATAAGGGTGCTGGTTCCAGTGAGGCCCCAGTTCCTGCCTCTCATTTTGTTATATTCTCTCATGAACAGTTCTCACTGGCAGACTGGACATATGGTGCCCTCAGTGTCTGAGGACATCTGGTTCCTCTTTCTGCCATAGCCTGTCAATATGAGCAGACACACCACTGCAGGACTCCTCACAGAGCATGTCCACTAAGCCCAGAATGTGCAGAGACAGGACATGTAAGAAAGAGATTTGACCTGGTTCAGGATTTCAAAGAGTGGGTCAGAAAATCTAAAATGGCTAAGGAAATAAACTGCTGATATAAAGGCTTTTTATTTTTATTTATTTATTTATTTTTTTGGTACTAGGGATTGAACTTGAGGGGCACTTTACCACTAAGGTACATACCCAAGTCCTTTTTAATTTTATTTTTATTTTGCGACAATGCCTCACTAAATTGTTGAGTCTGGTCTAGAACTTGCAGTCCTCCTGCCTCAGCCTCCCAGGTCACTGGGATTATGAGCATGCATCACCATGCCTGGCTATAAAGACTTCTTTTTTAAGAGTAGTGATTTTCTCCTCAGCTTTATCGAGGTATGGTTGATCCCCCACCTGCCTCAAAAAAAAGTATGCATTTAAAGGAATATAATTTGAAGTTGTGCTACATTGTGAAAAATGCTGTGTGTTCCCTTACACAATTAATTTATGTGTGTGTACTGAGCACATAGGATTTGCTGCCTGGCAGATTTCTTACTTGCCTTACAACTGAAACCATATCTCCATTTTCTGTCTCTTAGCCCCTGATTCTGCTTCTGCCTTTTCAGAATCTGCATATAAGTGATATCATGGACATTTATCTCACTATGTCTGGCTTATTTCTTTTATCACAGAGTCCCCCATGTTTGTATATGCGGTCA